AGTGCCCCCGTTGCATGGCTGTTTAAGGACCATTACATGCATTATGGTCTTGGAAAAGCTCAGGTTGTCTTCACCATACATAACCTCGAATTTGGAGCACACTTCATTGCGAAAGCTATGGCATACACAGACAAGGCTACAACTGTATGTAGCTAAAATTTCCTTTGTAGTTAATGTAGTTTACTTAATATAGAGTCTCTGTTTCAATTTTTGAACTTCAAAAGCAGTGTGTTGCTTTTCTTGTGGTATTTTCTAATATTTGTTTAGTCAAACTGCTAAGGATTTTCTCTTTTCATAATCTCTGCTAATAAGTTTTACTTCCTAAATATCTATGTTTTCCAGCTCTATACATGTATATGTACTTAAATATAGTGCATTTATGATTCAGCTACGCATTTTTTTTATAATATTTTGGTTCTTTTGGTGACAATACTTTCTCTTTATGCAATGGAAATATTTCAAAGAGATATATTGTGCTCAATTTAGGACCATATCCTTGGGGTACCTCCGTACCATTAGGATTCGGCTTTTTCCATTTGCATTTAAAGAGATATAATTAACTCCTAGGTGGTTCAGAAATTTAATCTCTGGAAAAAAAGATCATAGGATTTACTATCCTCTTTGAATTTGAAATTCTTTATGTAAACATAACTGTTTAGATGCTTGAGTATAATTTACTAGACTCAGAATATACTGAGCAAGTGATACATCTGTAACCGTCTCTGATGCATTCAATCCTGTGAAATTAGAATATTCTATTTTAATTAATCTTAATGTCGTGCTATGGTAAGTAATGCAAGATATTTAGTGGTCTTTTATACTTCATAGTTACTGTGATGGTGTCTGAGTTACTGCTTATTCATATTATGCAGGTATCGCACACGTACTCAAAGGAGGTTGCTGGAAATCCTGCAGTCGCTCCTCATCTCTACAAGTTTCATGGAATCTTAAATGGAATTGACTTAGATATTTGGGATCCCTATAATGATAAGTTCATTCCTGTAAGTAGATATACCTTTATTTAGTAAATGTTGTATCTATGAGCTTGTCCTCAACCCTTAAATGAAAAAAAAGAAGCAACTGTTATGCATCTGTTGAATTTTTTCCTAGATTAATATTTAAATACAGGAGACCTTCCTCTTCCTTCTATTTTCTATTGCGAAATTTCTACCTCTCTTCTTTCCCTCTTCATTCCTTTAACAGCTTTAAAGCTTGAAGTTGCTGTTTAAAAATGTTTTTTGTTGAATGTGCTGATCTGCTCCCTTGATCATATAACATGCAATAACTACTGTTACCTCCATGATTGGGACTTAAATGGGTCACAATTTTCTGGATGCAATATTCTAAATCAACTTTAGCAATTAATACTCTCTAAAAGGACGAGTGTAAATAGGCCTCTAGTGCATTTCCTTTTTGTCCTATTTTTGCTAGTGAAGTTGTTCTTGATGTCTGATGCTTATTGTTTCAGGTATCTTACACTTCGGAAAATGTTGTTGAAGGCAAAGGAGCTGCCAAGGAAGCCTTGCAGCAAAGGCTTGGTTTGAAAAAAGCTGATCTTCCTTTGGTTGGAATTATTACTCGGTTAACTCACCAGAAAGGAATCCATCTAATCAAGCATGCCATTTGGCGCACCTTAGAACACAACGGACAGGTTAATTTCCTCTCTCCCCCCCTCCCCCTCCCCATTTCACCATCATCTGTATGAGCTCATAAATAATCACACACTATGAGGTCTACATCAATATAGGCTTCTCAGTAGTGACTTAGATGTGATATTCACCAAGAATCCTGGCAATCTTACAATACTACAGGACTTTAACTTGATCATTCTCTTTCTAGTGCATATCACAGTTAACAAATCATGTTACCTGATAAGTTTGGAATGAATGTATAAACAAGGAAGTTTAGTGTCTCTTGTGGACGTCCTTGATTGTGTATTTCTACTTAATGCATCTTAAAAATGGAGTTTTTGTGGCAGGTTGTATTGCTTGGCTCAGCTCCCGATCCTCGCATCCAAAATGATTTTGTGAATTTGGCCAATCAGCTGCATTCATCTCATGCGGATCGTGCTCGTCTTTGTTTGACCTATGATGAGCCTCTTTCTCACTTGGTGTGCACTCTCAAAGTTTATTTTGTCTAGTATTATTCTTCGAGGCGCATACTTACATTTTGCTTCTGCAATATGATCATAGCAGTTCTCATCCGAACTTTCTTATTTTGATTTATATATTTTACAGATATATGCTGGTGCTGATTTCATTCTAGTCCCCTCAATATTTGAGCCTTGTGGACTGACGCAAATGACAGCAATGAGATATGGTTCCATACCTGTTGTTCGTAAAACAGGAGGTGCATACTTACCTTAAGTCTGTAGTTTTGATACCTCTGAACAATATTCTTCTGTGTCTTGATTACTGAGATGGGTTGATATGTAAATGATCGCTCGATGCGATGCATGGAATGGTACAGGCATTACGAATGACATCTAGATTTCTCTTATGTTTACAAATTGCATCTGATGGTCATTGAATTTATTGTTTTTCTTAAATGGAGATGCTATTTTATATGAATTTTATTGAGCTTCGGTTCTTAGACCCTCTCAAAGTGTGCTGACACTGTGTTTCGATTACTTTTTCTTTAAGGACTTTATGACACTGTATTTGATGTTGACCATGACAAAGATAGAGCAGACTCACAAGGTCTTGAACCCAACGGATTTAATTTCGATGGAGCTGATGGTGGTGCAGTTGATTATGCCCTCAATAGGTGAGTTTATTTCTCAGCCCTGAAGGTAGTAAATGCATTGGTACCTCTATTATTAGTTAGTTTCCTAGTTTCCTTATTCAGCTTCACATATTAGGAAACACACATAGGAGGACATATCATTTGCTGCATTTGCACTCAATTCCTACTGTTCTTGCTCTGTCCTATCTTTCGAATATGTTGATTAGAGTTGTATTTATTCACTCATCGATGTTTCAGGGCAATCTCTGCTTGGTACAATGGTCGGGAATGGTTTTACTCGTTGTGCAAGAGGGTGATGGAGCAAGACTGGTCTTGGAACCGGCCTGCGCTTGATTACATGGAGCTTTACCATGCAGCAAGGAAAAACTAAACGAAAAGAAGCCAGTTAAGCAAAGATGCAAATCAGTTCCATCCCATAGCTTGTAGAGTTTAGTGATACCCAATCCTAGTGGTTTTTCCCTTTCAAAAGCTCATTTCTCTGCCTTGGTTTTAGATCTGAAAATCTTTCATCCATTTTTGTGTAGCACAAAGCAATAGGCTATCTTCAAAAACGAAAAAAAAAAAGGTGTACCATTCTCAAGAGGAACAAATTCTTTGACTGTTTTTGATTCATGTCTATGAAATAAAAGAAAAATAATGTGAAATGTAGAAAGCACAGAGATGGTTGTATTAAGCCTTGGAAGATGGTAAGACAGAAATATAAAACCATTGTCAGCTGGAGTTTGAGCTGATGTTAGCAGTTCAATTATGGAATCAGACGGTAACTAAATAAAATCGCAGGGTTCATTGCGTGCGAGTTTAAGAGCTGCTCTAATCTTCTTTTCTGTCGCTTCCAACGTACATCACGATAAGTTGATGCAAATAATTAGCTGAATACGAGCTTTTTCTGCAAATCAGAAAAGAAGAAAAGGGAAGAAATTGGGTCAACTGATATCATTTCATACACTTAAAGAGCTTATTGCAAATTACATTTTCTGGAAACTGTATCATCTTAATTTGCTTGACATCAAACTGTATCATCTTGATGATGCAAATGCAGATGCCAAAAAGGGTTCCTAATTGGGATGTTTGCATCTTCCCATGCTGACCACCAAAGTTGCCTCAGCTTTGGGAGGCATGGAAAGGACCAACACCTAAATAGAAAATGATGGTTTTTATGACTGACCTCTGAAAGATGGTGGTGGACAAGGAGTAGGAATTTTATTGGAGAATTTGCACTAATCTCCTTTAAAAGGGAAAAGCAGGATGATGTACTGAAAGAAGTGCTTTGCAATTTGCAGGGTGCTCATCTTATCAATCTTTATATCAAATTTGGCCTTTTTTTTTTAACTGCTAGCAATGGGGTTCTTTTGTACAATGATTAGAAAGCTTAGCTTTTCCTAACTTGATCCTTGTTCATCCAAATTTCTTCTTAGGAATTACGTGAAATTGATTTGATTAGTGGACATGATCACATGATAAAAATTCTAAATTGTCGGAAAATAGATAAAACAAACAAAAAGTGAAACTGTGGCTGTAGTTTAGTGGTAAGAATTCCACGTTGTGGGCGTGGAGACCTGGGCTTGAATCCCAGCAGCCACACTGCGCCCGTTTTTGCTGCATGTCAGTATTTTCTACTTCCTCTGTTGGTTCTAAACATGGCTTGGAAGAACATTGTTCAACTTTTCCAAGTGATTTTTATTGCTGAAAATCTTTCTTCCTGCCATCCTTTTTATCACTCGCCAGACCTCTTTAATTATCTTATTTGACGCCAACTTCATGGGAGGGATTGACTTTGGCTTTACTGTTGATAAGGATTTTCTATGTCGATTTAATGATCAGATACATACTCCCACTTGTTCAAGTGATGATCAAATCATGCAGAGAAATAAAAAAGAACTGGAATAAGAAAGAGTTGACCCCCATCTCTTTACTCTTTGGTCATTATCCAACAGAGCTTTCATGATTTCAATTTGAGAAGACCCTTCACCGCCTTTCACCACCCCAACCTCTCACTCTCCATTTACCATTTGCTGAAATCCCAAAGACCCAGGAAGCATTGAAGAATGAACGTAATCATGATGGATAGATAGCGTTGGAAAAGTTTCAGTCACAGTTAAATTTATGATCATGGTATGTCATTCATCCATGACATACTAAAAGATCACCAAAGCAAAGTCACCCCACACCACAGTTATCCATGCACCATCGTCCAACCAAAGCTTTTACTGCTTTAAGCACCCTCTCCTAGGCAACGCCTTGAAAAAGTTCTCTGCCTCACATTTCCATACGTTCACACTTTCACATTGCCTTCTATTTTTATCTTCCTCTGCTAACGCCGAATGAGCTGAGTTGCTGCTGTGAGTTGGGGATAAGGTTACGGAAATCAGTGAAGTTGGTCAGTCCAATCCTTCTCTTCCACCTTTCCCAATCAGAGGCCAGTCTTTTCAGTGATGGCAAAGATATAGTCATTTTTTATATTTGAAAGTTGGTTAAAAAAAAAAAGGGTTTACTCCTGTAGACTCTTCAATGCAACACACAGTGTGTATAAAAGCAATAAACCCCAGATGAAGAAATCTCTCGACTCTCAAAACTGACTAAGTTTCCGTAGGAGGTAAATATGCTCTGATAGGACTTGGTTCCTGGATTTGCTCAATGCCTCAATACCCTCCTCTTTACCACGTTTCTGTGGGTGCCAACTGCCAAAGCCAAACCCACCTTTGCAGAAACCATTTGGAGGTAAGTTAAAGAATGGTGGCAACTAAAGACAGTAGAAGTAGGGAGTGGTATTTTTTTTTTTCATCATTTTAGCAATTTTTTTGGTTCTAAATTTTCGAAGTAGGAATAAAGAGTTGGGGGAAAATAAGAAGTGATCCCCATTAATTAACATCTGTTTTTGTTGTCTTTTTCCTCTGCTGTTGCAGGGTACTATTTTGAGGGGGTCTTGAAATCTGTGATCTTCTTTGGAGCTATTCAGACACAGAGGGGAGAAAGGGGTGTTTTGCTTCTCTTCTATTGTCCTGGTTGGCGTTTGGGGTTAAGCAAAGTACCCATTTGTGATATCTTTGAAAAACGCTTTGGTTCTTTTGGAGGGTATTGAAACAAAGGCAAGGTAGATTCCTGATATTGTTCTCTTACATCTTTCTCCTTTTTTGTTCCCAAGAAATGAGCTCAGATTTATCTAATTAAAAACAACACAAAACATCATGAACTAAATATAATAAAAATAAGCATTTGTTTTTCTCTTGTATTTATACTGAAAGGAACCATTCTGGTTTATGCTCAAAGTCTCTACCTTTCTCCAAAGGTATTGACTTTCACAGTCAAAGAAAGGTTGAATCTTTTTCCTTTTTTTTTTCTTTTGCTAGAGCAAAGTCATGGCAGATTGGCATAGTATCATGAGCAATAACACTGGTGGTTGCAGTCGGAGATCAATGAGAGATGAAGATTTTGATGAAGAAGAAGTCTGGTCTTGTGTGAAGGAGAAGGAAGATTCGAGTTCCACACCAAGGAAACCTAGGGAGTCCTCAAGTTCTTCCTCTGCATGGCGCCTTCCAAGCGCACCAAGAATGATCCGAAGAGTTGGCAACTCAGCAAGCCATGAAAACAAGGTGGCTCAGCAATCATCAGCTCCAGTGAACATCCCTGATTGGTCCGAGATATATGGCAAGCATGCAAATATGGAATCATCAAGAAACGGGTCATGGGTTGATAATGGGGGTGGCATGGTTTATGGTGATGGAGATTATGGTGGTTGTGGGGAGGATTATGAAGATGATGATTTGGTCCCTCCACATGAATGGCTAGCTAGAAAGCTTGCAAGGAGTCAAATTTCTTCTTCCTCCGTTTGTGAAGGGATGGGAAGGACGCTTAAAGGTAGAGATCTCAGCAAAGTGAGGAATGCAGTTTTGACAAAAACAGGTTTCCTCGAGTAATGGGACTGTACCATCATCAGTTCAACATCCAAATCATCATCTTCATTGCATATTACACAACCCCATCATATTATGCCATCACCAGTCATCATCAGCAGCAGCAGCAACCACCATGATCATCATCATGTTCATCTTCATTTGTTCTTTGGGTCCCATATGTTACCTTTCTGCTTTTATGAACTTTTGCTCATGTTATGTTGTAGCATGTCATGAACTTGGAACTAGAAAACAGAGTCGTAAAACAAGTCGGAGCTGCCTTTTTGTTCCAAAGAAGTGAAGGAAAAAGGAAAAAAACAGTTTGGCAGCCTCTGAGATTTTGTCTGGTAGTGGAGTAGGATGTGTTTTGGGTATAGTTGGAGTCCTCCTTTAACAGCAAAGAGAATTAGTTAATCATCATTTCTAACTCTTCTTTTGGCTGCTCTTTCATTTATCATCAAATTTTAAATCATTACAGTTGTTCTTATTCTCTATGATTCAAGTAGTAATTGAGTCAATAATTCTCTCCCTTTCATGAACCTGTTACTTTTCCTTTCCTGAACTGTTTCTCTATTACCCACCACACGTTGGGTGCTTGAGGCTATACTTTCCTTTCTCACCAGTCTTTAACTGCTGCTGTACTGCGTCATGATTTATCTTCAAGGTTTTTACAGCATAATGTGTATGAATTTTCCCTGTCTTTGGCAGTGCTTTGCTGCAAAAGATAAAAAGCAGGGAAAAAGCAATGGTGGTTTAATCTCAAATGAATCCCGAGCATTGCCACTTACTGTAATTCTCAATTCTTTCTTTATGTTATTCATCATTAACTCTTCACTCACTCCCTTGTTCTTCTTGCTTCAACCCCAGAGTTTATGTTTCCTTCAGAAAAAGATGGAAAGAAAAATCTAAAAGTGATGCAATGGCATAAGGTCATTGAGATGCATCGGCAGCACACGGTTCCACTTCCATCAGAATCAAGAGAGGGGCCACCACTATACAAAAAGGTTGGAGAAGAGAATCGTCTTGCTGCTCCTGGTTGGACAGATTCTCGATCATCTAGTATCTCTATCTAGAACAAAACCCACATTTTGATTCAAAGATCGTACTCTTGCATCTCCACAACTTGGTCTTTTGGCTTCTACCCTTTTGCCGACAGGAATCCAATGAGTTTCTTTTCTACCCTCAAAAATTCTCCCACTAGTTTCACTACGTGGTACTTTCTTACCAGCCCTTTATCTCAATTGTTCAGAGGACCACTCCCAACTCTTTTCTCTGCTTGCCATCATCCCCACAAAGGGTGTCATAAGCCATAAGTGGTTCTCCCATTCAAATGGACAGAAAAAAACAATAATCTGGTTCTAACTTGCGATGCATATTTGATTTATTCCTTTGAACTTGTTGCATTCGTTTCAGTTTGCTCTCATTTGTTTCTGATGTTGTCCTGTCATCCTTTACTGTGACGCCATCCATTTGTTGTTAATTCATCATGACAAAACCATTTTTGTCAAATGGAGATTTAATCACTTAGAAAGACGCCATGGCTGGCTGCCACTATCATAACTACTCCCACCTTTTTTAACTTTCAAATTAATCCATTGATGGAAAACCAGAAGATATTGCTTCTTTTATGATGATTTGACTGTGATATAAGTGCGTATCAGGAATCAATTTCTCCTTCTTCACAGACTCATTAACTGAGGGCATTGGGTTATTAATAGTAATATTAAGTAAAAGGGTGAATCCTCCATTTAATGGCAGGCCATATACCCATCTTTCTTTTCTATATTCTACACAGCAATGGAGGAAACTAGGATTGCTGGACACTTGCCCCTGTCACCTAAACTTTTTACATACAAGGAAAAGAACCTCCAGGTTTAACATTACATTGACTGCGTAACCTAATCTAATTAAAGCATATTATTACAACTCGGTTAGGAGCAGAGCCTTTTTCCATTTCCATACCTTGCAGCAACTCTCACTCAACCCCCTCCCAACTCATTTCACCGCCATTTTTTCTTTAGTTGATAACTGAATATTTTAATATCGTACGTTTTATTATAGAACTAATAACTCTTCTGGGTATTATTATGAGTTACATGACTATTTATATCCTGGTCTTCTTCCATGGATGAGCATATTAGCTAGCTGTCACTTCTTAAAAAAAAAACGATAAACTTCACACACATGTTGCAGTAATAAATTCTGTTTGCAAAGGATTATATGGTTAATTTTTTTAATAAAAATAATAACATATCTTTAAATAATAATTTTATCGAATGAAATTAACAGCGTAATCCTTTCTCGAAACAGTAGGAAAAACGAAAACATATGATACTATGTGATTAAATCAGATTTAAATTCACAAGTTAAATATCAAACTAAATGAGAGCCTCTCAAGTTTCATCACTACAAACGCAAGAAAGTACTAATGAGAAACCCCCGACCGACAGCAAGTCCAAATTCAGCTCATGGGTTGTTGAGGCCTTGAGGGCCTTGGCCCCAAGGTAAATATTTTGGTCAAACGCATATTGAATGAGTGTGCCACCAAAAACCATAAAACAAAGAGCAAAGCCAAGACAAAACAACCTGTTACAGCTCAAAGTGAAAAGAAACTGTAAGACTACTAAGGAGTCAGTAGAAACATAAAAAAATAAAAAAGACATTTACAGCGATGGCCGTTTGTTGAAGTGGACGGTTTTGTAATTTGGAAGTATTAAGAGGGCAGGTTAGAGTGTCTGTTTTCCCATTGTACATCTCTCTCTCTCTCTCTCTCTTCTCTTTGAGGTGGGGGAGAGAGAGAAAGGAACAGAGTGTGTCATCAAAAACTACGCCTTTAAACTGTTGAAGTCTTGTCCTTTCTAAATCTGTTTCTGGGTGTTTTGCCCTTTCCTTCCAAATTTCCATCTTTGTATAAAACTTTGTATTCTTTGAGGGAGAAAACAGTGACTTTGTTAGGACCACAATGTCTGTGAAGAGTAGGGGAGAGCTTGCTGCTAAGCATGTTTTATCAAGGAACTTGGCTCTCTTGCTTTGTTTTGCTAGCTTCTGTGCAGGGATGTTCTTCACCAATAGGTATTTTGGTAGTCTGGGACTCTGTTTTCCGTTTTTAGTTGCTTTGCCTGATTAATTAATGCATTTTGGTCAATTTGGTATCAGTGAATTTTGAGAATTTGGTAAGATCTCGTGAAAGAAGTTTAAGGAGGTACTTTGATGAACATGCTTGTAAATTTTGGTAATCATGGTGTGTGAATGTTGGATTATCCAAAACTAAGATCGTTTAGACTTTGTTTTATTTTTTACAATAAATAATTCCGGAGCAACTACTGTTAAGCTAATTATTTGAATTGCATAACTTCCAGGAATCGTGGCTTTATTGGATTTAAACTATGTGCAGGTTTCTCTCAGTTGTTCTTAATCCGGGCAGGGTAGTACTGCATTTGGGCTATTTTAATTCCTTTGCAACTTTTTCTCTTTATACTGTAATTTTATCTCAACCACCCTTTTGGAAAGGGGAAAGCTGTAGTTCAGTGCTGAAGTTGGTAGCTGTGACTTATCCTTTAAATTGCCTGTAGAGCTTTGAGTAGTGCTAGAGGAAAGTCGTAATGGTCTAAAGATCAGTATTTACATGTAGGAGATTGTCGCAGGGGAAGTGGGGAACAAACTTTTAGATTTTACCTGTCTTGTTGTTTTGATAAAATGAAAAAGTCAAAATCTTTGCCTAAACAAAGTTATCTAGATTGATAGAGATGTTAGATGATATTTATACCTCTATTAAAAAGAATCTGTTACCATATGGTAGGCTATTTTTTATTGTTTCTATTAATCTTCTTTTGTTAATGTTTCGGAAAACTCAGACATCTAAAGATTACAGTTTTTTCAAGTTTAATTTTTCCATGGCTTACTTATAGCATATGGAGATCAATTTTAATTATGAAATACTGAATCAGGATGTGGATGCTGCCTGATGCCAAAGGCATTCCGAGGACATCTATAATCGGGGTTGAACAATCTCTGAACTGTGATCAAAAAATTGTGAGTGTTTTTTGTCACACATTTGTTCCGGTCTTACTTATCAACATGCTTGAGCTCTGAGAGGATACTTGTTGGCATGAAAGAAACAAAGGCTTGGTGTTCGTTTTAGCAGACTAGCAATTTTTACTCTAATGGCTTGTGGTGGCCTTGTCTTAACTATTCTCTTCAGTTTAGTGCTAAATTTGCTATCTGGATTTATTTCCTGCTAACTGATTGTTTGTACTATTCATTCTTTTGTCGAACTTAGAAGTCCTTAAACAATGAAGCCAATAGCTCTGGAGGCATTTCAGGGTCCCAACATTCTATTCAGTAAGCAAGCTGATGGTTGTTAAATCTGGATTAGGGGTATGTACCCTCATGTGGCCTTAAATGTGTAGCTTATTGCTGTACGTCAAATGCAGGACTCTGGATAGATCCATTTCAGATTTGGAGATGAAAATAGTGGCTGCTAGGGCAGAGCGTGAGACAATTATGAAAGACCCTATGATATCAGAAGACTTGAAGAATGTTAAATCAACTTTAAAAAGAAAATATTTTATGGTCATAGGGATCAATACAGCTTTTAGTAGCCGTAAGCGGAGAGATTCAGTGCGTGTGACTTGGATGCCTCAAGGTGCATTAACTGTTTTCATAGAAGTCTTTATCTTTATAATTCTTTATTTTTGTTTCCATTGATCTTCCTCTTGATGTATGTTAAATGGATTCTTGTTATAAATGTCCCAGCTGAGAAGCGAAAAAAATTGGAGGAAGAGAAAGGCATCATTATTCGCTTTGTTATAGGTCACAGGTAATTTCCACCTTTTCTGCCCAAAATTATCTGATCTTTCTAAATACATTGTCTGTTTGCTTTCTCCAGCTATTGCATATGAAAGTTTTTTTGCCTAACATTGCCAATTAATTTGAGTCTGTTTTATCTCCACAAAAACTGCTCATTTCAATGATTCTTTAACAAAGAAATCACGTGTTGTAAACTAGGGAATAGAACACTGAATTAATTGATTGGCCTTTTCTCCAGTTCAACATCAGGTGGTATTCTTGATAAAGCCATTGAAGCCGAGGAAAAGGTGCACGGAGACTTTTTGAGATTGGTAATACTTCTATTCTGTTCTTTCTGTTGTTATTAGTACTTACTTGTATCCTGTAGTCTTGATGTTTTTGTAAATGTGAATAGACCATAGAAAAATATGTAACAGGCCCTTATTTCTGTTTTTTCATAATAAAAACAGCAACACATTGAGGGCTACCTGGAGTTGTCAGCCAAGACAAAAGCTTATTTTGCCACTGCTGTTTCCTTGTGGGATGCGGAATTTTATGTCAAAGTTGATGATGATGTTCATGTAAATCTAGGTAAAACAAAACTTTGTTCTCTCATTTTGCATGTGTACAAATCTTAGTAGATAATGTAATTCCTTTGTTAGTATGCCTTAATTTCTTATTTAGAATGAGATAAAGTTACTATCCAAGTTCTATGCTGAGTACCTATAGACTTTTTGAAGGAATATGATCATGATCATAGTTTTATATGTTCTCCAAAATTAATGCTTAATGAAGGAAAAGGACTGTAGATACTCAAGAAATATGTACAATAAAAAAAACTAAGAGCCTTTTACTTGTATCTGTTCATGAGAAAACTAAAAGTGAAACATGTTAACATTGAAATGCTTAGAAACCGAAGTTGAAATAAGGAAATGTGGTTCCAAAGATGACCATGAGATAAACTTGAGGCAACTGGCAAGTTTACCCTAACTCCCTGGAACTGAAATAATGACTAATGTTATCAAATTGCAAAGTTCCAGTAAGCAGTACTGTTGGTTGGTGCCACAAGGAAAATGCATTGACAATTGTGTAGTAATTCAGTGACTGAATTTAGTTGATCAACATCGTTTTCCAATCAGTGTTACTAGATATACAATAAATCACATAGTTACTTTCTTGAATAAAATAATTTCACTCCTGTCTTATTGATTATATATGCTTTAATACATTGCAGCAACACTTGGTTCAACTTTAGCTGGACATAGTAATAAACCTCGAGTTTATATCGGCTGCATGAAGTCTGGTCCTGTTCTTGCTCGAAAGTAAGCAGAATTTCTTTGGTTTCTAAATTAGCTGATATTAAGATATTGGTAATATTTGGTTGTTCTTATATATCCTCTTTATTTAATAGGGGAGTGAAATACCATGAACCTGAGTACTGGAAATTTGGTGAAGTGGGAAACAAATATTTTCGACATGCTACAGGGCAACTGTATGCTATATCAAAAGATTTGGCCACTTACATATCAATAAATCAGTGAGTTTCTACTTGTCTTTTCCCAATGGTTTAATTTCAAGCCTGTTCCCATTGATGAGTTGATGTGTGCACTTAAACTAACAGGAAGCCTGTCTATCCAGTTACTGAACTAGCTGCTAGAACAAAGAGGCAGTTGCATGTGTCAAGCTCTAGAATCATGGACTTGCACATGTTCAATCCAAAAGTTTATGTCAAAAGTTTGTTATTGCCCCTAGTGGTAATAATTATGCTTTATTTTCAGGAATGTACTGCATAAATATGCTAATGAAGATGTTTCATTGGGATCTTGGTTTATCGGTTTAGATGTGGAGCATGTTGATGATAGGAGACTCTGCTGTGGTACTCCACCAGGTAACTCTTACAATACTATGTCTCAAAATATTTTCCCTTTCTCTGCAAAAAGGAAGGGTATGGGGGCTTTGCTTTTCTTGGATACGTGTTCTAGTTTAGGCAGAATGTAGTTTTGGGCAAATAGATGTCATAATGAGAAGTTCGATGACTGAACATGTAAATCTGATCTATGACATCACTATTCCAGTCTCCAGGGTCGAGAATTATTGTTAATATTGTTTAATGAATCCCTGATCAACAAGTTTGAGTTGTGAATTTATCAGAGGACAGTTTTTGGTATTGGGATAACAGCAGCTGTGTGTGTGTAATGTTGTTTGTGTTTGGATTTAGCTGTGTTTTCTTGTTCATGTAATATTGTAGAACTGACCTAACCTTTTTTCTTGCAGATTGTGAATGGAAAGCTCAAGCTGGTAACATCTGTGTCGCTTCTTTTGACTGGAGGTGCAGCGGGATTTGCAGGTCTGTAGAGAGGATCATGGAAGTTCATGAACGTTGTGGTGAGGACAAGAATGCTTTATGGAGCACAAACTTTGTGCAAACAACGAGCAGTTCTTTCTAACTGAGGAAAGATATATACAAAGGGAGCAGGCATAGGGATGCTTTTTGTTTCCCTTCATTTTTTTCCCTTTCCCACACTCATATTGCACTCATATTTCATGGGTGTAAAGAATGTGTAATATATAGTAGAAACATACTATAGTAATCGAAGAGAGGCACCTTCCTGCCGGGGACCCCTCTACTTCATCAGAGGATGCCAACCCCCCAACTGCAGTAAGAAAGAACATTGAAGACAAAACTGCCTCAACCACATTCTTTGAAAATGGTGGGAGGGCTGCATTACAAGTTCTCTGCCATGGTGATATGAGATCCATGATAGTAGTAGTAATTTTTGTTGGCATCATTTTGCTGCCTCACTCAATAAAATCAATATATTACACATTTATCTTCAAGACTTCTCTCTCCTTCATTCCATGAGAAAGGCACAGTGGCATCACAGTTTTGTATCAGCATATTGCATTCATACCTATGAAATCAAAAGATTGGCAGATAAACTAAACCACTGATGAATCTCTAAGCATAAAGACGTGACTCCTTCAAGCTATAATGGGTTTAGTTTTCTTACCCGATTAAAGCAATTGTCATTATAAAAATGTATAACCCACTTTTTCGTGCTTGTAGTGCTGCACTGATGATACACCTAACAAAGCTAAAGTGAACAAAGAAATCCCACAGGCAACCCTCCATTCACTCCGCTGCAAGCGTGTTTGTGTTTAAGATTAATTATATCCTTCACCTTTCCCATGAGGATGTTTTCTGTAAGCCACAAAGCCAAATAACATGTTTTTCTGGCTTTCCTGATTCTGCCATGGAATATGCTCCGGTACTGGCCAAGTTTGTTTTCCCTGTTGCTCTTATTTTATGCTCAAAATAGGAAACTGTTTCACTCACTTTGCGCGCTTTAACTGCAACAATTTACATCAATTAACAAACCTGATGAGAAGCCAATAATATAAAAATGGCTATGGTAGGGAACTTTTTCCTTTCTATTTACAAGTTCCTTCTTTCAGAAAGTATATATGTATATATACACTCGTTGCTTTGTGTTTCCTTACAGTTGCCTAAATCATTTATAGGTCCCAAAAATCATGCCTCTGATTAAGAAAAACCTGATGAAGAAAACTATTGTTACGCTTGCGTAAGTTACCAGATGCTGCAATCCAAGCTTCCTATATCAAAGAAACTCTACAAAATACATGCTGCACATTTGGATTTTGATCTTTCTTAGTGTGGCACGATGGAAACAACATTATGTGAATCTTCAAGGTGTGTTAGAGTGAATCGTTGAAACTTTAGTCAGGCTTGTTGCAGATGTAAATCATTTCCCTACGAGTTGAGATTTTCTTTATATCAGTAGATACTATATATATCTCTCAAAAGTGAGCCTAAACTTATAATTATATACCCTTTTGATCCTAGTTTTGAATTAATTTTGCCCTTGATTTACAATACCAAAAACTTGCATGCATCCTCAGCATTAGATGTCCTCAGCCTGGCTGCAGCAGCGAACCTGCAGGTCACACTGCATGAGCATCAGGTTGCTAGTTTCATTTATGGCTAATCTTGGACCATTTCTATATGATTCCTACACCATTTTACATTGTCTTTAAATTGTGTGATTCAAATGAAGAAAACCCTTTTAAGTAAATACACAGATGGATGCGTCGATGGCTGTTGGAAATGGTCACCCCCATGGCAGGAAACGAAAGTGCAGGCATATCAGGATATCCAAATTGTTTTTGTATCTTTACAAAAAGATGTATCTGGAGGTGTGTGTGTGTTATAAAGAAGGCCTTTCATAAGGAGATAGAATCCTGTCAACTACCCATATCAATTTTGTCAAAAAAGTTGTGGACCTTTACGTACAAGTAACTGATTCATATAAAAATTCAATTTCATATATTTATTGAATCTATCTTCACCTACCACACAAAAAAGTTTCTCTGGATTCAACAAATGGTGTCATTGCCTTTTGGGCAGCAAGAAATATGGAAAACAGGAGCCACTAAAAAAATAAAAGAAAAGTTAAGTAAAAAAGATCATCCCAATAATTTTGACATGGTCTTTTGTCTGTTTACAACCAGGTTTGGTGGAATTTCCCTGCATGAAAAGTTGACCTTTGAGGTTTGATGGCAACTCAAGAACAGATAGTACACCTTGAAAAGTCCAGAAATATGTTAGTATATTCTTAGCCTGGTTCTTCAAGCCACCATGCATGCAACTCTGCACTCAATACATATACAACTTATCTCTAATATAATCAAAAGAGAGAAAGCAGGAGATTATGATTAGTATGGGAAAAAGGGTTGCAGCGAAACTTTATCATTTACCATTATCAAGAGCATGGTTTGAGGCTGGTTGAAACGAGAGGGGGACATTACCTTGGGGAAGTTGTTTCTGATACTTGGATTGAAAGGGAAAAATCATAATCATGAGCAGTTGTACGTGATATTGGCACGGCTCAATCAAATAACAAAACTCTACCCTTTAGAGTGGTGCTTTCCGATTGAACCGCACCAATATCTCGATCGCAAACTCCTGTGCTTTTTTACCATGCTTTCCCCCTATGCTCTCACACCATCTTCCTCGAGCTTATGCCATGGCAGAAGAAGCACAGCACAAAACTATAGTATGAGTTTAAACATATTGGTATAAAAAAAAATACACATGAAGGGATCGTTTTGTATTCAATCCTTGGGTTACAAAAACTAAAGATGATAGAGCAACCATACCTTCACCTGATAGAAAATGCATAACAAATACAGCAGAGACTCAAAATTAGTAAAAAGACACATGAAAATAGCGTCCTGGACATGGAAGAAGAAACATTAATAGACGGGTAGGAGAGAGGATATGTTCTCGCCAAGAGTGAAGAAGCTGCTCAGAGAGATTCTCTCATCTTAATGAATGAGAGAGAGATAAAGAGAGAGAGAGAGAGGTGGGATGGGGGGAGCTTAGAGAGAAAGGAGAGAAAGAGATGGATGTGGCCTTGAAAATGCTAGCATTGAATTTGTCACCAACCCAACAACAAAAAGGAGGTGGGTATATTAAATTTAAAGTCTAGAGACAATGGGAAAGCTCACTGAAACAAACCCTCGAGCTTTCAATTTGTATTTATGAGGTCGAAGGGGCATGTTGGTGTGGTGCCACCAGCTACAATTTGAATTTCAAAAACAAAAATAAAAAAAAAAATGCTTTTGGAATAAAGTCCTCGGGTTGGTGAAATTAATTTTTAGGTTTCCTTTGTTTAACTGGTCTTCTACGAAACAATCTCTGGAGCCAGATTTTTTGCACTTAAAAAACCAACTGCATCAATTTAATTTGCACAGTATATTAGATATATACCCCATAAGAATGATGTGCAAGGACACAATACTTGCATTTAATATTGCAACAAGAACCATATGATCCTTAAATGATATATGTATGTGTGCAGGTGAACATATGAATTACGGTTTTACTTCATAATTAATCATTTAGAGGGCATAATGATATGATTTTATGACTTTTAGACCTTGATTAACAAATAGAGTATGTGTTTAGACTAAAACCTGTGGTCCATTACTTCATCTTGATTGAGCATATATATCCATTCAATGACCTTTGAAAACAAACTTTAAACAAGGAATCACAAAGCTGATCATTAACTAAGTTAAAACATCGACCAGGTGTTTTTTTTTTATTATATAGTAACAGTAATGAGGCTATTAGTGGTTTATAAATTGTAGGTTTCGGGTCAAGCTGCCGCAAAGCCTAACAGCCAATATGGCTTTGACGTTTCAACGGGCTAAGTTAGCATTATAGCATCAAGGCATTCAAGCCATCAAACTTGTGGTTAACGTCACTCAGGCTTTTGGTCAGAGTCAAGCAGCTACCAATTACCAAGAAAGAGTGGTCTAGAAATGAGTAGTATTCATTGCCCTGTGAGACAAATAGGAACACTGCTTATTACCCAGGTTTGTGGAGCATATTTCATGCAGGACAAAAACTCCCGGAGGGAAAGATCTAGTTTTGTGTCGAGTTGTTTTTTCCCCTCAAAGTAAAGGAGAATCTTGAGTGGAATTGATAATATATATCAAAACAGACACTGACTCTCCTCCATTATCATATTCCTTGTATCCCAATCTCACCTGCAACGGCCATTGTTTTGGGGTTCTTTTTGTTGTACGAACAGCAAAAGAGTTCAATGTAAATGCATGAAGTTTACATATGTAACATGGAAATTAGGTGGCATTTCTTTTGTTATACTCTCATTGGTATGTATAAGAGAAAATCTTTGGCTATATGTATAAACAAAAAAAAAAAAAAAGAAAGAAAAGAGGAAGTATGGGGTGAGGCACAACCTGAAGATTGACTGACCCCATGGGCCCCTAAAAGTTTTAAATTATTGATCTCTAGGAATGGACTCAGCCAATCAGGGTAGCCATTAGGGTTGGATGTGCAGTGCACTCATCTTTGTTTCTGACAGAACCCATGTTCTACAATGGTGAATATGCTTGAAGGCAGGTTCCCCTAATAAAAGCAGTGCCGGTTGAGAAAGAACAAGGATGAAACAAAGCCTTCTGCAGAAACCCCAAGAGTCAAAAAGAAATTAGATCATGTTTACTGCACAAGTAATCGAACAGTCCACCCAAATCCAACTCTCTGTACGAGTTTCATCTACCTCTTTTTTGATTCTCTGAATCCAATTTTTCCATCACTGGTACAAAGATATAAGAGAAATGCTAAAGAGTATATGGCCAAAGAGAGAACTGTTACAACAACACAACCACCATGTACCATCATGCAGAAAATATCTCAATCCTTTCCAAGTTGAATTCAACTAGAGAGTCTGCAAAAACATTAGTTTCACGGACCATCAACTTTATTAAAAATGTGTCACGCACTATCATGGCTGAAGCTTTTCTTCCCTTATTCAAGATAATGTAACCTTAGAGTTGGACTCGATAATCAATTATTTTCATATCAAACCACGATGAAAAAGTAAATAATTAAACTGCTTTTTTTAATGTCACTAAGTTAGAATCTTGAACCCTAAGAGGGCCAAAGAAAACACCAGTTACATGTCCATTAATACTATGTACATATATAAAAATGGAAAAATCAGAAAATACATGAGATATATTCTGATTTTTTTTTTCAATTGTGCATGATGCATTGGGTTGGCTACCACCACTTACTGGATCCCATATACAACAATAGTTTTTGCTAATAAATCATGTCATGTTTGATGGTATGCTTACCTACCAGACCACTACAATTTGGTGGAAATATTATTATCTAATTAGTTCTCAGTGAGTAGTGTTGTGCTTCTCTTTTGCCCTCCCAAGTTGATTAAGATGATAAATCGACAGAGTTTTTTGTGTTGGAAGGATTGACAAAGGCAGGAAAGTAAAAACCAAAAAATGAAGTTAGAAAATTTTTCTATAAGCTATAGAAAGGAGGCTGCAAGTACAAGATAATAAGCGAAAACCCCTTGTTTATGGATCCCCAAGTCCTACCAAAAGGAAACCCTGTATCTTACCCCTCCCCTCACCTCAATGATCTGTCCCTCTCCCCATGTGAATTGATGTCTGCATCTCTCCCCATCTTTTTACAGCAAAAAATCAGCCCCACTTTAATGACTGTTTTCACGTGAAAACTCTGCAAAAATTTGTGCTATCCCTGCAACATAGTCCTATCTCTCCTTCATCATCCTTGACCCCCCACCCCACCCCACCACCAGAAAACCCTAGGTCCTAGCCTTGGTGCTTTTTTTCCCCCTTTTTAACAGGTTCCTTGGTTTTCATGGCAGCATCTACTTATGGTAAAGGTAAGGCCTATAAATTTCTCTGGGCTCTCTCATAAGCTCAGGAGTACGCTTGAACTCAAGTTTATGGTTAGCACAAATTGCAGTAATTTCATGGTTGTGATAAGAGAACATACAAAGAAGTAGCTTTCATGTTTGCAATGCAAGAAGCAGAGAAATTTAACGAGTGAAAGTCGTCCATGCATCATGATTTTGGCGATTTTCCATGGAACTATATACGAACAGTAGTTGGCATTACTGATGCTTGAAGATCACGGCACAGAATTTATGATGGAAACGCAGTTATTACAACAAACCGGGCAAGCCGGAAGCAGGCTTGGAAAAGAAATAATAAGAGAGAGAGAGAGAGAGAGAAATTCAATACTTGCCGTACTTCTGCCAACATAGTAGCATAATAACACACCTCCTTAATATGTAAAACCTCGACCTTTGTTCCTTGGCCATGGTTAAGCACCTTTTCTTCAAGCTTGACATGGTGGTTTCCTCACAATGCCCTCGCTGATCAATTTCATCATCTCCTGTTGATGGCGCAGAATGGCACTGACCCATGTTCGGCAGTTCGTGACCCCAATTAAAGACTTTCACGCACAAAAGGCTCTGAAAGAGTGAGAGATTACTTGCAGTAGACCCCCGACCAGAAGGCTCTTAAATGGAGTTCACCTAATGGACCAGTAGCTGAATCTCTGTGGCCCTTGCAAAACTCCTCGGTATCTGCAGGCTGTCTCCTCCTACTTAATGCATGCTGTTGCCCTCCAAGATCTTCTATCTTTGTGCTCGATGGGAACCGGAACCCATCTCTTGCATCTGCACTCATACAAGAGAGAGATATGCAAGACTCAGCAGGCTAAGCGCTATTTGTCTTATTCCTTGTGGTTTGCCCTTTATTAGGTGTATGCTCTTGACTGAACATGGATACAGTAGCATCAGGCATCAAAACCTCTAACCAAATCTCTTGTCCTTAAAAGCAGAACCCAAAAAAAGGGTCTGTTGTCTACACTTCAAAGCTGTGAATTTTGACACCCTCTTTACTGCTCGGATTTAGACCCTCATGTATGCTTTCAAAGATTTCATATAATAAGGAACCGATTTTCATATAACATTTGAAGATCTAGAAGAAAAGAAAGAGAGGAGATTAGCATGCTATTTCAACTAAAAGTTTGTTCACATTCAAAGATATTTTTTATATTAACCAAACTAAGGCCTTTACTAAGTGTAGCTAAAGACATTTTACCTACTTTAATCACAAGTTGAACTTGAACCAATACAATGAGAAAGAATAGTGGGAAGTTAACAAAACAAAAAAAAAACTTATATATATATATCCGATGATACTATATGATTAAGTGATAATGTATAGATTTATCTGCCGACAATACATCAAATATAAATTTTATATAAAATAATTAAGTCAAAAAGTAAAATTGATGTTTCAACCATTTCTTCACTATCATTTATATCTAGTGTCACATTCATTTAGATATATCATCACTTCACTTCGATAGAAGAACGTTTTGCATCTTTGTAGTTCAAGTTATTAGAGGCTAGCTAGCTTGCCCCAAACCATGGATTCTCATTGGTGCTAGCTAAAAGTTTCCAACCAAACCTCCCCCAAGTTGTTTCACACCCATTACTTTACCTCACACCTTTATTTTGACAACTTTCACAATCGTTGGATGAATGATCTTTGTTTGCAAGTGAGCCCATGAATAACACTAACCCAATCCATTTATTGTTCATGCCAGCCAGCCAGCCCACTTGGAATACTAACTTCCTTCAACCAAAATTAACAAAACGGCAGCGTTTCATAAGCTTTCCCGTGCGGATTAGATTCCTTGTGCCCGGGGCAATCCCGTCGGGAAACAAAGATAAATAAAAGAATCTATTTAGAAAATTCAACATTAATTCCGCTAAGCTTTAGTTTCGTGTTGGCCTCGAATTCAAGCAAACCCTGAAAAAAAGTTTCCTTCTTGCCTCAAAAATCTCCCCTTTTCTTTTATAAAGTCGAAGTCTTTTGGTACATTGCTTAGTTTGATTCCGACCCTTTTGGTCACTCGATCCATTGGGTTCTTTTTGAATTGAAACCCCAAATTCTTCAAGCCCCTCGCTTGTTGTTTCCGGTGCCGGGTATGTTTTCTGATGTTGTTTTCGCCAAGCTTTTTACTTTCATGCATGTTTTCGGCTTTTCCTTCTCTCTGATTTATAAAAGATTGAATTTTTGGTGATGTTTCGATGTTTGAAATTCGCAGTGGATAATCAGTGATCGAGTCTTGCAAATGGCCAAAAGTTCCTTCAAGCTTGAACATCCTTTGGGTTCGTTTCATTGATCCCTTATTTTTCTTTTCTGTTTATTTGTCTCTTTTTTTCCTTTTTAGAATTTTGTTAAAAAATTTGCTTGATTGATTTATTGTTTGATTAAAAGTTAATTTGGGTATTCTTTGTCTTATCGTTTTTGGTTTAAGTATATGGTCTTTGTTTTGTAGATTTTTATTCAGAATCTGCTATCCTGATGTGTGATATTGTATGGAAATATTAGAAATTTGGTATTGTTTATGTAACATTGGATGAATTGGGGGGAGTTGATTGGTGGATTTTTAGACTGAATGACTCTTTGTTGGTTGGATTCATGAGATGTTACATCGTTTGTATACATTGAAATTTCTGTAAATTGGCTTGGTTAGGTGGTTTGTTTTAATGGAGAAAAACATGCTCTCGGTTAGGGCTGTTGCAAATTTTGAAAAGAGCAAAACATGAAGCATGGATCATGAAAGTTGTCTGTTCACTATACGGTTGTCTAAATTTGTTTGTATTCGATGTTCTGCTGCATCTTCTTTGTTTTGCTTTTCTAGGTTATTTCTGCCATTGCTTGTAATGAACTTTAATTGGAAATACTGGTCTTGTCGTTGCTTGTAGCATTCATTTCATGTATAGCACTCAACATTGCTTAGCAGAGGATATCTCTCTCTCTCTCTCTCTCTCTCTCTTTCCCATTTTTTTTTATGATCAATGGGAATGGATGTAATTTGTCTCACCTCCTTTGGATATAGTTGCAGCATCCTCATTATCTTTGCTGTTGTCTCTGCTGCTCTTGTTGTCTGATCCGATTAAACTAATAATTTGTTTCTCTTTTAATTTCTAATTCTCAGAAAGGAGGCAGGCTGAAGCTTCTCGCATCAGGGAGAAGTATCCAGACAGAATTCCTGTAAGACTATTTTAGTTACTATCTGCCATTTCTACCAAACATTTTGATCCTGTATTGTCTTTTAATATTCTTCTATGCTAATGGGTGACTGTGCAGGTTATTGTGGAGAAGGCTGAAAGAAGTGACATTCCTGACATTGATAAAAAGAAGTTAGTAGCATTTGCCCTTATTAAAGTAAACTTTCGTTTGTAGCACAGTTGACTGCAATAAATATATGAGAATTGAACAAGATATCCTACAATTAGACTGGTCACTGTTTTTTCTTAATTTTCTTCTTTCATTATGGCTTCAGGTATCTTGTTCCTGCTGATTTGACTGTGGGGCAATTTGTTTATGTTGTCCGGAAAAGGATTAAGCTTAGTGCTGAGAAAGCTATATTTGTCTTTGTTAAGAACACTCTCCCTCCTACTGGTTAGTGATAATATGTTAGCTTTAAGAGTTGAAACCTATTAAAATTCGTTGTTATGTTTCTAAGGCATTTTCCTATGTTTTTTATTGGTTGCAGCTGCCTTGATGTCTGCAATGTATGAGGAAAACAAGGATGAAGATGGTTTTCTTTATATGACTTACAGTGGAGAGAACACATTTGGTTCGCCTTTACTTTTAGCATAATGATGATATCAATCTATGTAAATAGCTGAAAGAAAAGGTGTAAATTCTCTTGGTGGCGCCTCTTAAGATGCTCGGTTTCATGACAATGACAGTTTCCAACGGTCTGAACTTGGAATTTTATTTTCTATGAATTCAATGGCTGAAATTAATTCAATCAGTGATTTTCAATTATATTTTTATGGTTTTAATCATGATATCTTGATTAATGGTAAATGTTGCATCTTGATGCCAACATTTTTAGCTTATAAAGTGGTGATAACATAAGAAAAGCATGCGGTATATGTTTTTTAGAGTAATTTGTTAGGGTAAAGAGGAGCATTACAGCTCAAATCAGCACAAGTTGTGAGGTAAAGAGATAAATCAGCAGTTGTTCGATGTGACTCCTCTACCTGGCAAAATTGTTATCCAGCCATTTTCAAGAGTGGGGACTGTTTGGGGTTGTTCCATGGAGCTACCATATTTTGTTATCCAGCCCTTTTCAAGAGTGGGGACTGGTTTGGGTAGCTCCGGGGATCTACCATAGTTTGTTACACAGCCATTTTCAAGAGTGGGGACTGGTTTAGGCAGCTCCATGGAACTACCATACTTTGCTATCCAGCCATTTTCAAGAGTGGGGACTGGTTTGGATAGCTCCATGGATCTATCCGTGACAGATGCTCAAGAAACTTTCCAATGCTTAAAAGTGCCATAAATGCGAGAATGTAATTCCCTCAAAAAATAAATGAGAAACGCATCTAGGACCTCTACTAATTAAGCTGTTTTCAAATCGTGGGCTACAATCAAACAATTTCTGACAAAATTCTGGTCTAGTGGATGTTTTCATATTCATTTGGAGGAACCCTTTTTCTGGCATTTGTTCTTGACCCATGTTATGCTCTTGGATACCCGAAGCTTGAATTTCTTGGCTCCCATCAAAGCTGCTGTTTTGGCCTTATTGAACCCACCTTTTCCTTCGGATTTCTTCTTGCTGCCGTTCTCTTTCTTGGCAGTAGCATCCTCATCTTCCATGGCACCGATTCCTCCAGCACCCCATTGATCAGCCCAGCTTGGTGCATCACTCGCCATAGAAACCCTTCGTATCTTTTTCCCAAAGTCTAAGCAAAAACAAGTTCACGAAAACCAATACCAATGATCAGAAAGCAGAAAAGAAAGGCTGTCAAGCTTAGAACTTCAAATCCAGTTAGTGGATATATGCCTCTCAGATGATTGCATAGATCCCTTGTTGGAAAGTTTCTCATTCTTTTCATGCATATTATACTTTGGCAACAATCTAAACTTGACTAGGAAACATAGCTTGAAAACAGTACATGCAGTAAGAGAATCTTAAGTTATGCCTACTAGAACAAGAATCTGCAGAAGCAGTCAGACTATACATATCCTCCCTATGTAAGGCTAAGAAAAAGATCCAAAGAACAGAAGAAATGAGACTTGAGCATCTGTTATCGATAGCAGAAAAACAAGAGAAGGGTTTTTGATAGAGAGAGTACCTGGTGATGGTTAACAAAAGGGCCGTTGTTGCCTGAGAAGTTTGATAACAGAAGCAGCAGAATGAACAATAATGAGTTTTTCTCTGCTCAAGCACCTTTAAAAACTTAATAAAGAAAGGACCACATGTAGATGGGTTGGCTTTGATCCCATATTGACCCTTTTTTTAAAGGACTTGCCAACTCATTTGTTTCCCATCATCTGAAGCAAACTCCTTTTAGCATCTTCATCCCTTTTTTTTTTCTATTACAAATAAGTAGTAATAATAATAATTAACAATGATATTCCACGCCATCTTTTCCTAGACAGGCATCATATGTTCATTTTCTACCTAATTATTACAGCCAAGGACAGTCCATACCCCATATTGCCATTGAAATATCTGATGATTGCCACTTGCTAGATTCTTGTAGTTGAAAATAAAAACATTGAATGAGGTATCTTTCCCTTTAAAGTATTCCTCAAACACCTCAAATTTGAACACCATAAACAAAGTCACTGGAAGCTGCCAACACCCAGGAATCTGAATTGAGTTGAAATGTTGTTGTTGCAGATTCATAACTTACAACTTAAAACGACCTTGATAATTCATAATCCAATGATTAATTACATAGAATCCTTTGTCAGTAAGTTTAAACTCTTTGTTTTCTCTTGCTTTCTCTGGGCAGCCGTCCAAGCAGCTGGTTTGGCTTTTACTGAATGCAGCTTTTTTCCATTGGCTTTATTCTTGACCAGTGTTCATGCCCTTGGATACCCTCAAAGCAGCTGCTTTGGCTGCTTTTCCCATTCGTTTTCCTTGTGGATATGCCAGGTTGCTCCTGCCACAAATCATACAAAAGCAAAACGTGGCATTCCACATACATTTCAAGGTTAAATAGCCAAGAAACTGAGGTTAGGTAAGCCCACTGAAACACAAGTCATAAACCCGACTCAAAGACCCACATGAAGGTTAAAGAAAAAAGATATATAGACATAGATAAGGGTTGTCTTTAATGCCATTTTCATCCCCCACTTGTAAAAGGACTAGACAAATCACTTGTTTCCAAATCCCATCACCAAAAGGCTAAAGCAATTTCGTTTGCCATCTTCTCTAGTCATCAGGCATCATCTGCTCATATTGTGACTAGATATTGCAATACCTATGGTACAACAATTTTCACCTTCTTTCGATGTTTCCATGTTCGACATTTTTAGAATATTTCATTATTCATACGAATATGATACTTTGATATTTCGTATCTGTATTGGACATATACTCAGTATCCAACATCCTATCTTGAGTCTGTATAACATAGATAACAGCTGAGGAGACCTACTGCTAATGTGTTTGCATGGTGATATCGTCTTTATTAATCATTTATTATTCTTTGATGAGAGCTGCCTGGTTAGATCTAAGCAGAGATGGAAACTATGTAAGGCAAGGAGACAATGGTGAAGACTTAAATTATCATGGTTTAAAAGTTAAAGTTACCTGTCTCTTGCCTGCAGACATCGTTTGGGACAGCTCACAATGAACCTGATTGGGCTCGAACAACTCTCCCCACCACCACGGCTCTCCCTTCCTTTAAGCTTTTGAGATAAACACAAACATTGATTCAATCCCAGAAAACTTGGCTCTTCTCATGTCCTCTCTGTTGAGGCATAAAATAGAGCCAGATGAGCAGCCTCCAAGAAGGACTGTAACTGTAAGGTTCCATTTGCAAAAACTTGGCTCAAGCTTAAGTATAACTGTTCTTCTAAGTACAATATCGTCTCAGCAGGAATTTAGTTTAGTTTCTAATGTTAACTAAGTTGTAAAACAGCAGGCTATATCTGTTTACGGGGGGGGGGGGGGAGGAGGAGATCAGGTGATTCAATCAAAACATGCTAGTTATGATGTTGCAGACATGGTGGCACTTCCATCCTGTCCAGTTGCAACAGAATGTTGTATTATACCAACAAGGCGACAATATATCTGATCCAAATTATTACACCATCTAAAAGAGGCAGAAAGAACCTGCTACAAAAGTAAGAGGAAACAAAGTTTCTTACAAGCAAAACATAGACATTAACACGAAACAAGATCCAAGTTATGGGACCTCGACTTCACAATTACTACATATGAATGGTCCATCTTTGAAGATGTCCTTCTAATTTTATACATAGGGGGCGGCTGACTAATAGTGTAGCTATGCAATCCCGCGCCAGGTAAAAGCTAGCTCATATCTGCAGCATTAATCCTTTTAACTTTACCAAAACGCCCTTCCATGTACCAAAACAAATATACCAGCACGAATGTTCTTAAACTGCCGTAAACTCTTTTCCTGGTTGAAGCAAACAGGGTGTGAATACCAAAAGGAACGCTGGGATTATGAAGATTGAGCAACCTGTTTGTTTCTCCAGAGGGTAAAGTTTAATTCACCTCATTGGCAACATGCTGCCAACAGTCACAAGCACTGATGCAGTGATGATTGCTTCCAAACAGTAGGAGAGACTTAACCTACATTCATCATTTAAACTCCTCTAAACACCATGTCAATCTGCGATCTTTTCAGTATTTTCATAGTCAGGGCTAGCTGTGTGTGTACTATGTACCCCCAAGTCCTATAGACTGATGGTTACATGTTTTAACATGTGGGTAAATGTTTTTCAACGAGTTACTTCATGCCTGCATCTCTATTGTACCTTAAAGTTTTATTAATGGTTATTCATGCTCTGTCTCTGCATGTACCCTCAAATTTTAGTGGTCAAGAATGCCAGACCCTAGCTATGGCTTAGTCCCTGTTTACCAGCAATGATATGATTGAATCCTACAAAGAACCCATTGCCATTGATCAAAAGTAAGGATTTTCTGCAATTAAAACAAAATTGTGTGCCAAATTCTCCATCAGGAATTTTATATCTACACTGTAAAATGTTGCAAGTTGAAACCCCAAATCAAAATTTAACATAGAGAAAATCATTTTCACTTTGATTTCCTGGTGGACTTGGACTTCTTCATCTTGCTGGACTTGTCGTCGGCGGTGGTCCAGGTATATCCACTAGGAATAGCGAAAGGATCCGCTTGTTGTGCCATTGAAGAAGAAGAAGAAGAAGAACTACGCTGTTGCTGTTGCTGCTGCTGCTGCTTGCTGGCAGACACTGATTGACTGTTGCTTCGCCTCAACCAGGCCGTCGACGACCACGATGACGACGACGATGATGATGGCAACAACGAATTGTGGGTCTCCGGTTTTTGGTCCTCCTCCGCTTGGCCGCCGCCTCTTCCTCCGCCGTAAGAAAAATGCCGAGGACTCGAGAGCGGGGTGTAGAACTGTTCTGCTGGTTGGAGCTCGACGAATTTCGTGAAGGTTATCACCACCCTCACCGTAGGGACGACCGGAATCGCCACCTGCCCCGACCAAACAAACAATTAAGACCCCACCATGTCTGAAAATCACCCCAAAGTCAAAAAGCGAAAGAGATTTACTCCTATTTCTATACAATTCAAACGGGACAGGACAGGACAGTTTAACGGTTGAACCACTCCCGCCTGATCCCTTGAACATCCATGATCCTGCCACGTCATCATCTACGGTCTGTCCAGACGGCGTGGACGGATCGTGGCGGACGTAACATTACCTAACCAGAAGACGATAAAAAAAAAAACAGGGCCCCACGGGGGGCGAGCCTTCGTCTGAAAGTGAAAAAGAAACCTCGTATGATGTGGGTCCCGCGAGATGGGAGGTGGAATCACCGTCCGATCTAGAACGAAGCGCTGGGAGAAGTCCACGTCCGCTAATCCGACCTAAGACTTCTCCACTGATCAGAGAGGGAACGACAATAAAGCAGAGGACAAGGGAGCACAGTTTTGCTTTTGTCATGGTGCTCAAGCAAACGTCAGGCTCCCTTGCTTGCCTAAACCATCAAAAGACCCAAAAGAGACACCCTGCTAAGCAGACAGGCACCCACGTGGACCCCACATTTTTTAAATATAAATAAAAATAAATTCAGAATATTAACGCTTTTTCTTACCTTGACCGGAAATGTCCCCGACGGGAACTTGGTGGTCAGCAACTCTCGCATCCTCCTTACAGCTTTCACTTTATTCGCCAAAATGTCAAGTAACGGTAACAGCTCTTCTGTCTTCAACGGGAACTGTTCCGTTAACCAAACAGACGGCCGTAAACTCCTCACGTACTCTTTCTCCTTAGTTTGCGGAGGCGGCACCACCGTTGTGGTCGTTGTCGTCGGTACGAAAGTTGTCGATCTTCGAGGAGGAACAGCCGCCGCAGCTGAAGAAGGAAAAACGTCCACACTCTTCCTCCCGACCGAAATCCACTCCCTCTCCTCTCTGACGAAGCTACTATGCCTTCTCCTATCAGGCATAGCGAAATTCGGATTCTCGCAAACTAAAAAACCGTCGTCGTCTTCGTCAAGCTCTAAAGGTAACACCTGTTCACTTCCCGCGAAGTCGTTTTCGGAACTCGCGACTTTTCGTGACCTGAAGCTGAAAATCACGTTATGTACTTCGTAAACTTTAGCTTTCCATTCACCGACGCTCTCGGTTTTCTCTTGGCGTCTCCAGTTAGTTCTTCCCACGAGTTCCGCTCTGGTTACGTCCATTCCCGGTCGGTACACGCTCGTTTGGGAACAAAAGCCGGCAATGTCGGATTCACTCATAGGAGCTCCGGCGTTTTCGAATGCGTCGAAGATTTTGCGATCGTCGCGGTTGAGGACTAGCAATGAGCCGCAAGGAATATTGTGGACGTGATCGCCGTCGCCGAGAAAGAGAAAGCTTTGATCAGCCCGTTGGATTTTCAAGCCGTCGAAGCCTGCTAATGAAGTATCCGCTCGGAGATTACCGTCTCGTTTCCAGATCTTGTACGTATCGGAAGGTGCGATTTTTCCGACAAATGGAATTACCGAGCTTTCGAAGTGGAAGGAGATTTCCATGTAAAAGTCCCGCATTCGGCGGAGGACGGCAATTACGCGAGGTAAACGACGGCGCCACTTGCTCCAGGCGGAGCGGTGGTGGAGTTTTAGCAGAACCAACGCAATGTCGGAGCTTCGGCGACACAGAGCTTCCTGGAGCGGATTCCAGCCCGCAGCGTTCTGGAGCGACACGTCAGCCCCAGCAACTGCAAGTGTTCTAGCCGCTACAGCGTCGTTGAGGCGGACTGCTAGGTGGAGAGGAGTTTCACGGAAGGGGACGTCACGACGGTCCAGAACAGCAGAGATTTGGTCAGCTACGCGCTCTTGACTCAACGAGTCGCACTCGGAGTGGATCTGAGCAGGATCGGCCAGCTTGGGTAGAGTGGAAACCAGTCGAGTCAGAGTCGTGTGATCCCCCAAGACGACGGCGTAGTGAACAGGACTGTGCTTGTAAGCCTCCGGCTTGATAGCAGGAAACGGCGTCGTCATGGACGCCGATGATGATCTGGACATTGTCGTTTTTTTCCCTGTTTCCACTCCTTAATTCCGCAAATATCAGCGAGCGGTTATTTCGATATGAGAAAATGGCGAATGAAGAAAAAAATGAAAATGTCCAAACATCCAGAAAGTGGAATAGCAATAGCGCGAGGGAGGGGTATTATTGTCTTCCGATAAAAATATATTTGTTGGGCAGCGTGCCGAAGGAAAGAAAGAGAGGGACGAGATACACGCAATCTGGCGCGGCTTTTGTTGATGCTTCAGACAGGTCCAGTAAACCCTCCCCCCTCGCTTTACCATCGCTTCTTTGTTTTGTCTTTTCCACTTTTTTTTCCTTTTTTTTAAAATTTAAATCAATTAATTTTATTTATTTAATTTTAAAATACTATATTTAATTATATTTATTTAAATATTTTAATTTTATTAAGCTTATGATGTTATCAAAACCTTTTGATTTGAGTAAATTTTGACTCGTGAGTTTAAAAACTTCGATTAATTCAATTATCGATAGAATTTGAATTGTCTAAACAACTTTTGGTGAGGAAAAGTTTGGACCAACAATCCATGAGCTCAATCATTCGGACAATTATGGGATTTTTAGATGTATTTTTCACTTCAATTTTCTAAGTAATATTGTCTTATTTTTCAGACACACGAGACAAAAACAGTTGGAGTTTCTAACACAGCTACGCAAATTGAGGGATTTTTTTTCTTCAGTTTGTTTTGTTTGTACTTTTGATTGACCGGTCTAAATTATTCGAAGAGAAAAAGAGAGAAAGGGGTAGATTGACCATGTTTTAAATGAAATTGAAAATGAAATAAAGGAAAAAAAAAAGGCAATGTGAGGATTGACTAAGAGAAAATTTAAATAAAAAAAAAAGGAGTGAAATCAGAAATGGAATGATTTGGTGGGGGCATAAGAGAAAAAAAAAACTAAAAAAAAAAAAGACAGAGTCCAAGGAGAGTCTTTTGTCGTGACCAAGAGAAACTAAGAACAGGGGAGTCTGTCTCTGGCAACATGGACCAATCCCTAACGGATTTCTCACTCCCTTCGATGCTTCTCCTCCTTCCAACTCTCTCCCCGTCCCCCCACCCCAAACTGTTCCCCCTCCATATTTTTGCTCTTGTTTCTTCTTTTGTCCTTTTTTTTTGGATTCTTTGTCCTCAAAGATTCTCATGTCTCATTTCATTCTTTTCGTAAATAAATTCGGTTAATTTAGTTTGATTTTAAATTTATTTAATTACTTGATTCGATATATTAAATTATTTCAACCGTCAAACTGGTCGAATATAATGAAGTTTTAATACAACTTAAGGGCATCTTCATGTGAATATTTATAATGAGGACCCACTTTCTCTCCATCTGTAGTATTCAAGCCAAAGGAAAAATAAAAAGAAATACATGTGGATGGATTTTTGAAGTGTGGGAAAGAGTCACACAGACCCAAAGGGTATTATGCAACATCATATAATCAACAATTTTTGTAGGATAAGGAATTGATATTTCTTTTAATTCCATTATACTTTAGCTTTGCTTTTCCTTTTTCCCACAAATTTAAGGCCATATTCCACATGAGTAGTCACTTTCTCTTATTTCCATCCTCTTATAATACATTAACTGTACTAATTAAATATGAAAATGCATTGCTGTCTCCATGTGGGACATTTTCTTTTCCCCAGATTTTCTTTCCATATTAAGAAGGCCATCAACATTTGCTTGGAACAAATGCATTACCCAAAAAGGAATGGAAAGGTCCTTAGAGATGGAGGACAGAAAATTTATAAAAAAAAACCCCTAAAAAACTTAAAAATATTGAAATTGAAGTGATAAATTAGTTTTAATATAAGGTTTTATACTATGTAATACGTTGAAATATCATATTAAAAAATAATAATAATATATTGATATAATATAATAATAAGATTATGAGATTATTTTTTACTTTCTATATTTACATCACACTAACATCACATAGATATGAAATTAAAAACAAAGGGAAAGGGTTGGTAGGTTCTGACCCTCATAAGTTTCCATAGTTTATAATTTTATCCTTATTTTGTTTTAAAATTTTATTTTTATTTTTTAAAAATTTTATAGTTTCATCTCCTTCAAATATTGAATTTTTTATTTTTATTTTTTCAAATTTAAAATTTTAATTCCACTAATAAAAAAATATTTTAATTAATATATATACGTATATACGTGGATGGCTAACGTCTATTTCTATGTAAATATTGAAACCATATCACTAGATTGTGCTAAACTTAGTTATTAAGTTCTCAGGAGTCAACAGCGTGAGCTCATCTGTTTGAATTTTCAACATGACCTAGTCATCCCTTGGCGGCCCATTGAAACACTTGGTTCACTTCTTTCCAAGAAGGCATCAGAGAGTAACCTGAAAGCTACCCTGATCGTCCCGAATCACCCAATCCTCCTCTTTAGGTGTTTCCCCACGACACATGCTGGAAAATGTCTCTCCTCTTTCCTTCCAGGTTCCCCGTACCTGGCCTGCCACAAGGCCAACCTTCATGCTTATATAGAGAGACCACATCCGGAGAGAGGGTTTATCTCCAACAACAACATAGCCAACACTACTACTACTAGTACTTTTCTTCTCTTGCTAACTAGGAATATTTTCTTCAAAGCTAATTCAGTCCAACGTTTCGGCCATGGCTGTCTTACCTAGCTTCGTGATCAGCTGCTTCTCTGATTCTAGTAAGGTTGCGTCCGAGGGAGAAGACAGTCGACGAACATCGACCCAAGTTAAAGCTGGTGGCGAAGCCAAATTGAAGGAAAGCAAAGCTAAGAAAAGCCCCCCGATTCCAATGACTTACTTCCCCATCGGCTCAACATTTTCTCGCTTATGAACATGCTTCACGACCCTTTGTGTGTCAGCTTCTCCGAGGGCACGTTTTCCCTATATTCCATAACCATTCTTTTCCATTGATTATGTTGTTTATTAGGAAAGGGAACAAGTTGGGATTGAGGCAAAATAAACCCTTTTTTTGTTGTAGATTTGTATAATTAAGAATTATTATTAGTAAAATATTCTTTTTGTACGAAAGCCTTCTGTTGTTCAAGTCATTCACAAACCCAAGTTCCTTACATAATTTGGTTATATATTTTGGATTCCATAGCTTGGTGATGCTTAATCTATTCAATGATGGCAGTCCTTCCTATAATATTTGAAGAAAAAAAAAAGAATCAAATCAAGGAGTTAATCGAAATTTTTTTTTACTCAATTTTTAAAATTAGATGAAATTAACATAATTTATTTGAATTGAATTTTACATATGGATATTTCTTCATTTCAAACCTTTTGTCATATGTGTGTTTATTAGTTATAGTATCACACTTTACGAAATAAGTAAATATTCAATAAAAAATCATCTAATTGTTAATGGAGTGTGTAAAAAAATCTTTAAATTACTTTGGGGTATTATTGTATTTTTCATATCTTATAGTAATATGAATAGGAATATTAGTAGAAAAATATGGATAGGTCCTTGGTACATAAGGATTTAGTCTTAGTAATTAATTATATTTCCTAAAACATAGTTTAACAGTAGTTTTCTTACATAGAGGAATCGACCTACCTACTGGCCTGGTAGCTAATGCAACCAGTTAGAAAAGGCCCAGGCCCAACAAGACTTTTGTTATATAAAATAAAAAGTTAGTTCATTTAAGTCAACTTAGTTCCCCGCCGGCTTCTTTCTCCGAATATCTTTCCTTCCCGATCATTTTGCTCTTAACAACACCATGAAGGTATGAAATTAATCATGAATTATAAAGAAACGATTGAATTTTATGTTGAATTGAATTTTCTTTTCTAAGATTTGCTGATTTTGCAGTCAAAGCTGGTAGTCAAGGTAGCTCTGAATGACGAGAAGTCCCGCTCAAAGGCCTTGAGAACGGCATGTGGTTTTCCAGGTACTAGGAACCTGAAATCATGTTAAGTTGATTCGATGATGGAGAAAATATGTGCTGATTTTTTTTTTTTTTGAGTGCAGGGTTGAGTCTGTGCTCTCGATGTCCGGACAAAAGCCAAGTGGAGGTAGTGGGCGATGGGATTGATGCAGCTGGGCTAGTAAGTACACTAAGAAAGAAAGTAGGGCATGCGGAGCTGATGAGCGTGAGCCCCATTGTTGTTGAAGAGAAGCAAGGGAATATAAAAAAAACAGGCTCTGGTTGCCTCAAAGGCGAAGGCGATGACAAGAGCCCAACAGAGGTAAAGAGCGATGGGATTTATGCAGATATTCGGAAAAAGATATTCGACGAGTATGTCCCGGAGTTGGTCCTGCCCTGGCCCTTGTTCGACTGGTCATATAATCAACCAAAGTGTGAGTTTGGGGAGAAACAAGTCCGTCCACCTGAAGATACACTTAGTAATAGCCCGTGTCTATGCATCTTTAGGATTTCAGGGATCTGAATTGGTTTCTACAACTTATTTTGATTCGATTCATTCTGATAATTTATTTTTTAGTACAGGGTTCGAGTCTGTTTCTCTCGAAGGTGATGACAAGAGGGCAATAGAGATAACCGGCGATGGGAATGATGCGCATCCAAGAAAGAGAAGAGAGTGGCAAGCTAGGGCATCCAGAGCAAGTGAGCAAAACAGAAGAGAAGAAAGAGGGAAAGTCAATTGTGAACGTCTGGGAACAAGTCAATCAACATGAAGATAGTAGCTCTTCTCCCTGTATCCAGAAACCTGAGTTGGTTTCTATTGGCCCTTATCATAGGGATAAAGACCTTCCACTTAACAAGTACAAGTATTTTTTCTTGCAAAAATTTCTGTCTCGCACAAGAAACCAAGGCAACGATTTATGTTTCTATGTACGACAGATGATGACACTTGAGTCGCGTACTAGACGATGCTACTCCGAGGATATTTCGATGTGCAGCTCTGAATTCGTTGAAATGATGTTAGTTGACGGATGCTTCGTAATGGAGGTGTTACACCATTTTGGTAGGGGTAAGGAATCTGAAGATGGGATTTTCCCCATTGAACCATGGCAGATCCCTATTTTGGTTCGAGACTTGCTCCTGCTAGAGAACCAAATTCCTTTCCTTGTTCTGGAAAAGTTGTTTGATTTATCCAAGAGTGAAGAAGCTACAGCAACCGTTTCTGTACCGACTATGGCCTTGAAATTTATCGATTTAGCCTTCCCTCGATCCATGGATTTCATCGTCAACCATTTGGAATCACCCACACATTTACTTCACTTGCTTCTCGAGACTATCCGCCCATCAAATCCTTCGACCAATTCACTGTCTTTGTTTTTCAAAACTACCCCTTTGAAAGCAATGATCCTCTCAAATCCAATCTCCTTAGGGCTAGTACTCAATTACATCACGAGAAGGGGCGTCTCCCATCTAAAAACACCTGCCAGCTCAAAGCAAAAGGAACATCACCCCTCTATTCAGCACAAACCATCAACCTCAAAGACAGCCGATCAAGTTAAAGTTTATTTACAAAGTGCACGGAGACTCCAGAAGTCAGGTATAGAGTTCAGGCCAAAAAGAGCCTACAGCTTCACGGATATCCATTTCAAGGATGGAGTGCTTGAAATCCCACCTGTAACCATCAATGATCTCTTCCTCGCCATCCTTGTTAATGGCATGGCCTTTGAGCAGTGTTCTACTGGATGCTCCAAAGATTTAACTGCTTATGTCTCTTTCATGTCTAGTCTCATTAGACATCCTACTGATGTAGAGCTGCTATCTTCAGTTGGAATCATCTCAAGATTTTCCCTCGAGAATGAACGGGTAGCGTCTTCTTTCACTTACCTTCAATCTAAGATTTCTGATCGTGGCATTACTCAGGACTCTTATCTCTACATGACAGTAATGAAAACAGAACGCTACATTGTCGAGGATAGAATTACTAGGATGCGCTATTTTTGGAGAGATCCGAAAATATTATTGTTCTGCATCACCAGCCTTTGGTTTGTTTTTTCCTGTTTCAAATTTGGGTACTAATTTGATGATCCGTTTGGTAAAATGGACTGGATCACATGGTATATCGAAGAGATGTAATAAGGGATGCCGAAGTTGATCCAACAACAATCTTTTATGGTGTTGTTAGTGTCTTAGATTGTATCTTCTGGTAATTACGTTAAGCATGATTCATGGTGTGATTGTATGCTATCCCACATGGTGCCTTCTCTTTTCTGTCTTCTGCTACTATTTGTGTTAGAGCTGCCTTTTTTTTGTTCTGGAATCTGGCGTTGGAATGTTCCATCTCTCTATTCTGTTCTTGGATTGCTTGACTTATGTTTAATGGATGTCTGGATAAAATTTCTTTATTGCTTTTTTTTCTTTGCTCAGCCAAGAGAGCAAAGCCGCTCAAGGCAAAGAGGACCCAGGAAAACAGGCTAGGAAAGACAAATTTATTTTTTTTTNATAAAAGATTGCTACCTATCCTTGGAGGATAGGGTAGCCAGGAATTACAAGGTTGAGAAGCAGAAAACACAGAAAATAAAGACCACATAAACAAGGGAAATGGTATCCAAAACAGAGCATTAACAGAACATAGCAGCGTAGCAGCAAAGGGAAGGCAACACATCATCATTTCATAAGCAGAAATGCATTAGGCACAAAGAATCTGGAAGCACAAAACTCTTGGAAGCACTAAGCTCGGGGAAAAACAGCAGGAGCAGAAGCCACATGAAGCTGAAAACATGAATGATCCAATCTGACAGTAGACAAATTCATCATGTTGTAGTTAACTCGGAAAGAAACAGCAGAGGAAGAACACAGCAGGGTCCATGAGTAGAGAAAGGATCACACCAATATCAGCACACCTCATAATTCAGCAGGGGAAATCAAAGCGCATTGAAAGAAAAGTGAATGAGTCATGAAGAAGAGAGGCATCACATCATCAACACAAAAGTAAATTTGTGTATGTCCCAAGGAAAAATGCAGCAAACACAGCAAGTCATTACCAAGGTGCACTGAACATGGATGGTCTTTGCTAGTGAATCAGCAAGGAAGTTGCCTTCTCTTGGAACATGAATGACCTTAATATTAGCAATCATGTGAGAGAGCGCGTCAATTTCGTTGAAGATTTGCCAAATTTCCCACGGTCTCAGAGATGTGTCAGTTTCCCATGCGAGAGAGACTTTGGAGTCGGATTCAATGATGAGGTTAGAGCCAACATATTGAAAGGATGAGAAACCATTGCAGAATAAGGCCCCAAACCAACCAAGAGAGAGGACAAGTGACAAGCAAGTGGGAACAAGATTCGTCCGTAAAGTTACACCAAGAACAAAGAAGCTGTTCCGTATACAGATTAACAGCTCTCGAGGCAAAGAAGCATTTGGATGGAAAAGAATCAAGGATAGCCAGTCATATGAAACATTGAACTTTCGGAGGAGTGGGGAGTTTCCATAAAGAGTGGAACCAAACACCATGATCATTAGGTTCCAGATCAAGCAGGGATATATAACGATTTATGATCTTAACGAATGTTACCTACAATATTCAGAAAAAATAAGTTAGAATGTCTATTAGTAAGATCTTTAGTTAAGATACGTAATGATTTACCATCCTAAATAATGTAAAATTACTTAACATCTCCGAAAAAAATTACTTCCACTCGAATTAGTAAAATTATTACTACCATTAGGGTATATAATGATTCCCGATGTTAAAAAAATATTATTCCAAATATTCATAAAAATTAAGTTGAACTCGAATTTGTAAAGATTTATAATTATATGTAATCTTTTACAATTTTAAATAAATTATCTTGAAACTTTTGAGGAAGATTGCCAGAACTCAAACTAGGAATGTCATTATATATAATGATTTGATATGTTACCTAAAATAAAATTATTTTTCAAATTACCTAAAAACATATGAGTCTTGTTTTTTACATTTATATGATAAGTTTATATAAAGAGTTCACCATACACATCATGGTTTAAAATTCTAAATAATGTGAACTGATTATATATCTTCAAATTACTTCATCTCGAATTAGTAAAGTCGTTATTACTGTTAGAGTATATAATAATTCATGATATAGAAGAATATTATTCCGAATATTCAAGAAAAAATAATTTAAATTCAAATCAATATAGATTGTTATTACAGTTAAAATACATAAAGATTTACAATTACTAGCATATAATATTTTATAATTTTAAATAATTTATCCTAAAACTTTTAAAGAAAATTGCTTGAACTCAAATGAGTAAGATCATTATATATAACAATTTGCAAAATGATGCTACTTAAAATAAAATTCTATTCCATATTACCTAACAAAATATACAAGTTATATTTTTTCGTTTATATAATAAGTTGATCTAATAAGTTGACCATATGCATCATGGTCTGCAATCTTAAATAATATGAACTTATCTAATGTACTTCAACTTGAATTAGTAAAGGCGTTATTACCATTAAGACAAACAATGATTTATAATCTTAAACAATGTTATCTCAAAATATTCGAGAAAAAATTAAATTGAACTCAAATTAATAAAAACTGTTATTACTATTAAAATATATAAAGATTTATAATTACGGGTATATAATTAATGTTTTACAATTTTCAATAATTTATTCTAAAATTTTTAATAAAAATATCCGAATTATTAAAAATCATCATCAATTCTTCATTATCATCATCATCATTATTACTGCTGTTATTATTATTATTAATGATTTGCAAAATGATGTTACTTAAGATAAAATTATTTTCCAAAATTACCTAATAAAATAGATAAGTCATGTTGTTTTATTTTGATGGTACCAAAATGGGTTGAGCAGGTAAGGATTTTACTGTCGGAATTTGGAAGGCAAACGTGGGTGCACTTATATACCAGTTCAAGGAGCACCCATGGAAGACAGAGAAGAGACAAAGTTTCCCATTGATAGCACAAGGATAGGATTTTCTTTGTTTGACGTCAAACACTTTCGAATTTGAGGAAAGGGTTTAGCCAACTTTGCTGTTCTACCTACCTGTTGTTTCCCTCCCTCTTTATCTAGTCTTAGGAGAAGGAAAAAGCCGGTGTCTTTTGGGAAGAGTACTACACGGCGTACGTTTGAAACACACAGTGGGGGAAGTCGGTGTCTCTTTTGAGTGTGTTTGTGTCGTGGAGTCCCTACTTCTTAACCGGCATTTCTCATCCACCTCCTTTGACGTTGTCTTTCTGTGTTTCACCAACACCACCACCACCAAACTTTGTTTCTTTGTTTCCGTGACTGTGTTTTCATGGTGTGTTAGTTGGTTTCAGGCTGGCTCCTTGTTGGTGTTTCTAATGGCTTTGAAGTGTGCTCCAAACTGGGTTTGTTCTCAAATGCCTCACTCTCATCTGAGGGCACCAGATTTGGGGTCTACCCGAGGTAGGATTGCGTCGGAGGTGAGGAGGCCTCCCAAATTGAAATGCTGCGCTTTGGGTTCTTCCGCACCAAGAGGTAGGAATGTCTATGAATAAAAGCAATGTTACTGTTACATGGTTAGAGAAGGGATTAATTCATATAGTTGTAGGCAACAAATATCTTGCCTTTTCAGTTATTAAATTAGTCTCAGATTATAACACTTATATTCATAGGATCTTGTGTGTTATATTTTAATAACCAGGATCATACATGGTTTTTGTCGATGCAATTTCCAAGATTGAATGTATAACTTTTCTGCAGAACCCCTGTCCATAACGGATCTATCTATATATGGTGATGATGGTTCAAATATGCTGGTTGCTTATGAGGTCTGAAACCTTTTCATTATTCTACTAAACATCCATGTGTTTCTTGCTATACTTATATTGGCTATTACCAATTTCAGGGAGTGCCAGGTGCATATGGTGAGCCTGC